ATTAAATTGCCTTAAATAAAATGTATTAATAACTTCCTTAATTATCAAAAAATTGTGTAAAATGACATAAATACCCTTATCAATTAAATTTAATTAAAAACAAATGGAATTTTCTTATTGGTCGAAATTGGTTTACACGGTTTTTTAGAATTGGATGGTTTGCATTTGAACCTGCCCCTATATATATATATATATGTATACGTGAATCATGCATGATTTTACACGTGAATCATATATGATTTTGTATATTAACGACCTTTTTCTAGCTATTGAGAGAACAACAACAGAATAAAAAGATGAATATTCGAGATCGTACCATGGTAAATTCAGCATAAGCTCCAAAAGTCATGATAGCTGCCGGAGAGCCAACTTTTAGATTTTTAACCCCATCACCCACTGCAGCGATTAATCCTACACCCTGTGATTTTGCAAATATTCAAACAAATGGAAAAGGAAGTGGAAATATCAAATTTCTAAAAGCATTACGGTATTCATGTTGTTAATCCATTTTTTATACCTCAAATCCGGCATCAAATGGAAGTCGAGAGCTGATTTCTTGCTTGCTTCCGCTGAAATAGCTACCAGAACTAAAATTCACCTGTCATGTTATACCACCAAATTAGCAAAAATTTCACTGGAAAAGTACGAGAAAAATGATACAAGATAATGAACCCTTCGGTTTAAAAGCAAAAGCTTTAGAGCTAACAAATCGTCAGCAATCACACGAGTAAACTAAAACAGCAGCAACTATGTCATTTATTAATAAGATGGCATAATCCAAGCTCAACACAAAGCACTTATAACAAGAATCTGATGATAACCCACAAACTTACATCACTTGCATTGACACCAGCATATATGATTTTCAAGAGGACATGATTTGGTTTGATCGGTAATCTCAATGGTGCACGCACTATACTTGTAGCACTACGAAAATTGTGGTTCAGAGTGTGAACAGTTCTGCATAACGGATATCAAAATATAAAGCATGTCAAGATATATATAAAGATAAATTGGACAGCGCATACGAAAGACATGACCAAATCAAAGTGTGCTATGAAAAATTGAAAATGGTACTTGCATTTTCTCAAAGCTCTGAGGGATCTGGACAGTAGATGGAACCACCGATGAAAATCTTGTCCTCAATCTTGAAGGGACCACCAAGTATTTTGATTCTTCGGTTGGAGTCGGCCAGTATTCCAGGCCTCTGCGGTTAGTGACCCATAAACACGAGCCAGCTTTACTCTCATCACTTATAAGCTCAAACGTACCTGTTTCATTGGTTGACTGTCAGGTACACGCTCAAACACCTATATTCCAGATCTTTAAAAACCAATTTTTTCTGTCTTTTCCCTCTTCGGATGAAGTAGAACATCATACCTTGAATCACTGTATCCATGGAGACATAACCTCCCATTCGTTCAATAAACTTAGAATCCACTTTTTCGGCCAGGTCAGTTCGAACAAACTGCATACAGGTTGGTGAGAACATTAAACATAAGTAGGTTGCACTTGCAAACCCCAGCAAGTCATAGCGAATAACTTATATAATATAAAAGATAGTGTTGTTTAAGTGATCATCTCGTCTTCAATATGAAACCTAATTCATATAAGGAGTTGGGTCTAACCTCTGGGCAAAGGACATTGATGCGGATACCTTTTCGCTTGTAGGGAGCAAGTGATCTGGTAAACATAACCACTCCCCCTTTCAAAATAAAGTCCACGAAAACCAGAAACAAAAGAACATCAGAAAGAAAACATAGAATATTTACAAACCAAGCGAGCCCAGTAAATTCCACACAAAGTCGGGTTTGAGGAGGGTGAATTTACATACACGTTTCTTCTACCCGTAGAAGTAGAGAGGCTTTTTCCGTGAAGGAATTGAAAGAAAAGGACATTTGTCTGAAATTTGATAGAAAAGTAACTAAAGGAATTGAAGCGCACACACACACACATCGCTGTGAGTATCACAGTTGTGTTATAGACAGAAATCTGATAGTTACTGAAAAATAACAGACCTTTAGAGGCAGAATAGATAGGGTCAGTGATCATTGGATATAGTCCTGATGCCGAGCCGATATTTATGACCACACCAGGTCTTTTTGCAGCTTCCATTATTCTGATCTGCATATAATCGATTATAAGACCAATCTTAAATAACATCTAAACGTGATCGCATTTATAAACTTGTAAGTCAGACAGAAACGTGAAGATAGTATGGAAAATGCCCATCAAAATCAACAAAGTGTGGCATACATGTGGGTACTTTAAAGGTGGATACAACACACAATAGTTCCGTGTTCATCTGTTAATTCATGGTAAAAGAAGTCAAGCTCAAGCATACCGCTCTGTGGGTGCAATCAATAACTGCCACAAGATTCACATCGATGGCATGTCTCCACGTGCGTGAACCATCAGTTTGGTCCTTTTGGAACACCGCGGGAGTTGAAATACCGGCACAATTAATACAAATATCCAAACCCCCGTACACTTCCAGGTGATTTTCAAATGCAGCAGCAATTTCTCCTGTTTTTGAACAAACGTCAATGAAATTCACAAAACCTTTAGCAGGAAAGATGAATGCTTCAATTACTTCAATGGATATAACTCACCTTTGTTGCTGACATCACATCTTACAAAGATAGCAGATGGGAATTTCAATCCTGAATGAAACTTGAGATTTTCATTTTGCGAAAGCGAAGCAACCTCCTTTCCCCTCTCCTCAGAGAAATCAACAACTGTAACAAATACACCCTTTTGGGCAAGAGCTATGCAAAGAGCTCTACCTGCAAGTGAATAAGAGTAAAAACACATGAGTTAGCACAAAACATTAAGAATCCCACTTAAAATCGCCACTTTCCGAATCAGACATCATCCATATCAATGTAACTCTTGAATTATACATTACAATCAATGAAATTGTTACCATTCCTAAAGAAAATGGACACAGTTCAATTTTTGTTGTTAAACCTACGGATTCAAGATTCACATAGGCTCGATTATAAACATAAAACAGAAGTTTTTCTATTTTTAGCAATTTGATCAATCTTTTCTTGAAAAGTTTGGAGATTACATATGTTGAATAAACTTGAGTACTACCTCCTCTTTCGAATTATGTTCATTTCAGACCTTCTTTTTATGATTTCACTTAGCTTTAGACAATACACCCTACTTATATAACTCTCAAAATCCTACTTTGCAAAGATTTTCCATCACTGAATTCCATGGTTGGATCAAAATACCTTCCTGATTAAAGATAAGGGGCCGTTTACCAAACACTTACCCAGTAAGCACTTACCGGCAATAATCACAACCCTTGTCTTAACATTCTCGGACATCAAAATGGATTGTTAGTAAACATCTTTTACTCGGTAAGCACTTACCGGGTAAGGGTTTTCTCCCTCGGACCTTGCTATGCCTATTGTGGGTAAGATTCTCAGTTCTTGCTATGCCTCTTACCAGGTGTTATTCTCGATTTTTGTCACCCGGTAAACGGCCCCTAAGTCTACCAGAAACGTTAACTAGGTTTTCCCCAATGATCGTAATACACTTTGTTTCACAGCTTGTTGCATCATTGATTAAAGACTTACAAAAATCAAAGTCAAACCCAATTAAACAAATTTTGATCACATCCAATTCAGATAAAGCGAGAGTGTAATATGTAATCTAAACAGAGAATAGTTAGCATCTGAATCAGTCAACGAGTTGGAAAACAGTAAGCATCGAATTAAATCCTATAAAAAGAAATCAAGAAATTGAGAATCATACCGATTCCGGAGGCACCCCCAGTGACGAAAGCTGAGAGGCCTGGTTTGAGCTCCATCACGTACCGTCTTCCTTCTTGGTGCTAACCTTGAAAATGTCAATTATCCTTTTTGCTACTATTATATATATATATATATATGTATATGTATGTATATGACAAAAACTATTATCTTCTGTGAGTCAGAGTCACCGGCCGGCGGTGGGTAAAGGCTTTTTTTAGTATTTATATACTACCGTTGAAGGGAAATACCTTCTGACGGCGGTGGGTAAGTTCTTGGAGAGGTGTGCCAATTTTGATGACGTGGAACAAGTAACAATTAACAGTCGATGTATTTGGATAGACATAAAAATGAATTCAAACATACGAAATACTTTCATACATATGATTATGAGTGGTCTCGATCTCAAATTCATTCTTGCTATTTTAGTAATTCAATAAAAGGAAAAATATATAAAAAAAAAACTAATGGACTTTAGTGTTTAGAATGATTAAGTCATTGGACAATTTTTTGGAACAAATAAGTTCTTGGACGTTCCAAAACATGTTAAATAACTCATTGGACAATTTTTTGGAACAAATAAGTCATTAGACATTCCAAAACATGTTAAATAACTCCTTGGACAATTTAAAACATGTTAAATAACTCATTGGACAATTTTTTGAACAAATAAGTCTTTGGACAATCCAAAACATGTTAATTAACTCCTTGGACTTTTTTAAAACCTGTTGGATACATTCTTATGATTTGTACAACTAGTTAAAGTGGTAAAATAGTGACAAAAGTCCGAAAAAAACCCCAATAAACATTCATATTTTGAACGATTAAGTACCTAAATATTTTTTAAACCAAAAACTATTTATATCTATAAAATTAAACAAATATAACAAAAAAATACTTACATTTACAAAAAAATAATTACATTTTTTTTGATAAAATTTATTTTAATTAAAATTAAAATATATTCTGTCAG